ATATATATATATATATATATATAGTAGTAGAGAGAGAGAGAGAGAGAGAGAGAGAGAGAGAGAAACAACCGGTGCTACGGAAAGAGGACAGACTACGCTAAATTTCGCTTACGGATCCCACGCGCTCTCGCTCTGCCCACTCGCCCCTCGATCGCCACCGTCACTACCACTAGTATTTGCGGCCGTGCTGCGCTGCGACGGCATGTGTTGGCTCTTCCCGTCCTTTACAGTAAACTCTGCTTCCTTCTCGACATCACCTCCCACTTTCAGCCGAGCCAGTTTGCGGCTGTACTTTTCAATCTGGCGACGCACCTCCGCGTGCGCGCGCGTGCTGGCGGCGAGCTGCGCGGTGACCTCCGTCATGGCTGTGCGCGTTTCCTTGCCCAACCGGCGCAATTCCTGTAGTCGCTCATAGGACGGTAGTGCATCGACTCCGTTACCCCCGGTATGGGCGGCAGAGGGAAGGTTCAGCAGAAGTTCGCGCCGGCGACGAGCGGCGGCGAGCATGCGCTCGAGTTCAGCGCAGTCGTTCTGCAACTGCCGCTGATTCCCTTCTAAGTGTGTCACGCGGGCCTTGAGCACGTCAGTCCGGTCCGCCCACGTTGCGGTGCTGCGAAGTAAGAGGTCTGCGTAGGCCTGCGCGGGTGGGAGCTGTCGTGCCCCGAGAAGCAGAATATCGTCCTCCGCCGGCGTTGGCGTTGGACGAGACGCTTCACCTGATGCGTGACTCCTGTGCAGCACGGACGAGCTTGACAAAGCGGCAGCGTTGCTGGCGCCTGCGAGAGGTCTGATCAAGGCCGAGGATGCGCGCACCCCACGCTCATGATCCAACGGCACAACTAGCTGCGCTGCATCACTGTCCGTGCCCACCAGCTGCGTGCCACCCAATACCTCCTCTCTTGCTCTTTCCGACCTCTCTGCGTCGTCAGCCGACCTCACCGTAACGCTGCTGCAGCCACCGAGAACGTTTTGTGAGGGGAGTTGATCACTAGGCGTGTCTGCATCGTTGCGCCGGCGCTTCCGAGTGCTGGCTGCCCTTTCTGATGTTGCTGTCGGTATGCTTGCTGCTGGGTGAGGCGGTGTTCGCACGCGGGGGCAGAACAACACCACATCCGCCCTAGAGATCAGCGCTTTCCGGCAGACCGGACACGACTTCCCCGTCGCGTACTCGAACAGCTGCATCGCACAGACGTAGTGCAACAGATGCCCGCACGGCAACACCGCCACCCCCGACGCGCTCTCATCGCTTGGGGTGCCGTGAGTCCTGGTCGTGGGGATCGAGTGACTCGACTCTGAAGAGGAAAACGAGAAGGTTGAACCAGCTTCGTCAGACGAGGGGGTCGAGTGGGTTTCGTCAGCCGAGATGGACTGTGCGGAGGATGAACTGGAGTTGCTTGACAAGATTTCAAACGTGGGGTGCCACGGGTCCGCGAGGTCGCTGCCGTACACGCCGGGGGCGAAGGTGATTTGAAACTCACCGCCGTTGTCGACTTCAATGAGTCGGCCCGACGGTGCGATGGGCGAGTGGGTGGTGCTGCTCACGTAATTGGAGGGAGTGGAGGGGGTGGAGAGGGAGGAGGGAGAAGCACCGCTGAGCGTGGACGCGGGCCGGCTAGGCGGTGGTGGAACAACCGCGAAGTGTAAAGGCTGAAGGCAGATGGGACATTCCGATTGTAGGAGGGCTTCGTGCAGCAGCATCGTTGAATTGTTCTGCTCACTATTGTATTATCTTCGACAGGTATTCCTTCGTGTGGTTTTCTTTTTTTTGCTTTTTTTAAAGTGTGAAGCTCGTACACGTGTGCGTCGGTAAGCGCTGGTCGAGGAAGCCGAACACGGCGGAATGGTCTGTACCGCGTGAGAGGAGATGGACGACGCAGAGTAAAAACAAACAAACAAACAAACGGCAGGAATGAAAAGGAGAGGAGAGAGAAATGAAGGCAAAAGCCGCATTCCTTTTGGTGCTGCTCCGGAAAGTTCGCGATGGCGCACAGCAAAACGAGATATAAAAAGGATCATCTTTTCGACTATCATATGCACATCTGCCAATCACACGAACGTGTACTTGAACAAAGAAAGAAAACCAAACGATCAGAGAGTCAGCGTCATTCCAGATGTATCACACTTGCGCGTGTGTGATTACTGCTACATTTAAACTTAAATGTGTTCAGGGATTATCGTCTCCGCCAATTTGTGTACGCGCGAGAAAGGAATTTGAATGACAAGAGCTGGAACACACACACATCGAAAGGCCTCAAGCTGTGCTTCACAATTTCACGGCGTTGTGCTGACCAAAGACGGCCCACGCTGGCGGCGGTGCTTCGAAGCGGACAAACCCGCCGTCCATCGCACGAGCACCACCCGCCTGCTGAGACACCCCTTCACGCACATCTGCCGGCGACGCATCACTCCCGACAGTTTCGTTGTCTGTCTTCTCCATCCCCAGCAGCAGCAGGGACTCTCGAACATCGTAGGCCCACGCATGCAGACAAATGGCCGACGTCCCCGTCGCGCACTCTTTGGTTGCCACGATGGGCAGCCGACCGGCGCATTCGTAGCACGGCGGCTCCTGCTGCCACGCCAAGGATGATGGCGGATTGGGCCCCCCGGCTACGTCTGCGCGGGCACGTTTGATGCCGAGCACTGTCGTTGCGACGTTGTGCTCTTCTTCTTCTTGCGGAGCCTGAGGCCTTTTTAGTGAGTCGCAAAGGCGTTGATACGCAACGGGGAGGTGGGCGGCGTTAAAGTAAATGTAGTCGCGTTCATTGCGCACCCAGCCATGACGCACTTCCTTTGCAGGTGTTTGCTCCACTTCATCGGATGCTGTCGGCGCCGCCACATCCCCGTGAGCGGCAGGCGTGTACACCACGTCGCCGGCGATGGGGCATCCAAGCGAGCTTAAGTGGTACCGGATTTGGTGTAAGCGACCTGTGTAGGGGGTGCAGAGCACGAGCGACTCCGTGCACGAAGATGACGACATCTGCGGAGGTGCTGACGGAGATGTACGGTTTCCTGCGGCGGTGGCCGGCTTGGCAGGTGTTGCTGAGCAGAGAGTCTGGCAGAGAGTTGCCGCCGCGAGCTCCGCCGTCCGCGATGGGCGTGAGCGTTGGGTATCGACGTTCCGCTGATCGTCGCGGGAATCGTGGTCGTGCTCCAAAGGGCTGTTCGTCGCGCTTTGATCTCGCTCCGCCTCATTTGACCCCTTCGCAGGAGGACGGTGGTGCGCCGGGATTGGCGCTGTGGTGAGCAGCGCCGCAGGAAACACATAATACGGCTCTGGGAGTTCTGTATCTGCCACTACAACAGCGGCAGCGGTGAGGCCGACTACACCGCAGCTACTGGCGGAGGATGCTAACAGGCCACGTACAGAGTCGTTGTGATGCGTAAGGCAGTCCTCCGTTCCAGAAAGCGACCATACTGCTTCTGGCACCCCCTTCGAGCCGGTAGAAGCCTTTCCTTTCGCTTCATTAGAATTCTCAAGGACCCCAACTACACGCGCTAGATAGTGCTTTTGCAGCTCGTACGTGCGGCCTAAAATGCGCTGCAGCGACAACGGAAGAGCGAGGGCAGGTGCTCTAGTGATGTCGCTACCGTCACCTTTGCAGCTGGTGCCCTTGCGGTGAAGAGGGCTGGAATCGACCTCAACACTATCCCTCAGGCTAGCCTTCATCAACTCCGCCGTGACGGCGTCGTCCACCTCCTTCGCTTTCCGCATGAGAGCGGTGCCGATCTGCTTCGCCGCCGCCTGCCGCACGGCGAGCAGCAGCACACCGGACGTCACCTTATCAAGTCGATGGCAGGGTCGGGGGAGTTTGCTGGGATTCACTTCACTCATTTCGCGTTCCGCTTCCCCCGTTACATCACCTTTTTTCTTCGAGGCACTCGTCGTCGATGGACCCTCGTAGTACGCATATAGCTCCTGCTTCTCGCTCGAGGAAAGACTTGCTGTACACACGAGAGACTGTAGCAAAGGGTCTTCCGTAAGGAGCCAGGCGTGCAGGCGCTTCGGGGCCAGGACATACTCCAGCAACGCCGTCAGCGAGTTGTACATGTACCGCCCTGTTGCATGCGTCGGCAGACCCGTTGGTTTATTAACACATATCAATCCGTATCGTGCAATGCGAACAGCTGTGATGCACACGGGATCAACGCCGGATGCGCCGATAGTGACGGGCACCTCGTGGCGATGCACGGTGTGGTACACAACGTCGCCGTGTTGCAGCACCACGTTTAGCACTTCTAGCGGTGTCTCCTGTGCAGAGGAAGAAGATGAAGGAGTGGGGAGATCCGATGTGTTCAGAGTACCCCGATGCGGGGAAATCTGCTTGTCTATTTCCACTGGTGTGGTACTGCATGCCAAAGAAGCATTCGAAGTTGCGGCAGATGATCGCTTCAGCAGTTTCCGCTGCGTGTTATGCCGCCCCAACGCGGCACGCGACACACAGTACAGGCGGCCTGTGCGAAGGCACGACTCGTAGTAGGCCGCGGTGTGATGGGGGAGTTCCTCGGCGTACACGTCCAGCAACTTACGGCCCACCCAGCGTCCTTTTACAAAGACCGTGAAGGGGTAGTCGTAGGGTATAACGTGTCGGCGCACCACCGCCGAAGTTGAGTCGGCTGAGACAGCGGGGTCGTTGTTCTCCTCGACCGTGTGCCAAGGAAAGCCAACGACGTGACGCGTGGAGTAGAGCTCGCGGCGGTGTGGTGATGCCCATGCAGCTTCTTCCAACGCTTGTAGCTCTTGCACGCTGTGTACAGACATGACGCGTGCGTGCGTGCACGCAATTCGGATGTGTGTATAGAAAAGCACTTGAACACTGGCAGTCCGGAAGATGTACCCTCCACCTGCGTCTTCATCATGCAGTTTGATCATTAAAAAAAAAACAGTGTAAAACACATGGAGAGAGAGAAAAAAAGACGGACCAGACAGCTCGACGGTATATGATGAAGCACCCATCACAAGTTGATAGGTGAAGCCAGGTCAAAGGTAAACAAGGGCTGCGGGCCCCGTTCAGAAATGCGTCCCACCTATGCAGCATGTACGTCTTCTCAGCCTGGCAGGAAGAAAAGATCTGTCGAAGGGAGCGCTTTTCCCTCTCCTTGTCCACTCCCGCTTCTTTTTCTTTTTAAGTCATAATTTATGGACCCATATGTTTGTGTAGGAAGAGTAGCAGGCGCGGCCAGAAGGTTGACGGCACTGTGAGAAGAAGCCTTAGGAGCAACCAATGCAAAACAAATAAAATAGGTGCGTTGCACGGAGGCAGTCATCGTCCAGCAGCGTTCCTTTTTACAGACCTTCCACTCTTTTGCCATCGACTTTTCTCATAGCCCGCGCACCAGCCGACGGCGCAGGGATCGGCGCGGACACGAACGCATGGCGCACCAACTGCGTCATCACCTGATCGTAGCCCCGCGTAAAACCCACTCGATCCAGCGCGAAGACGATGTCCCGCGCATCCCGCGTGAGCTGCCGCAGCACCGTCTCTCGGCTCTCTTCATCCTCCGCCTCTGCTTCTTCGCGGTGATGGACAGATGACGTGGAAACGATGTCACCGCCTGCGGGTCCGTCCTCGTTGTTTTTCTGCTCTACCGTGTCTCTGCGCACGGCAGAGTCCCGTGCCTTGGCCACGGCGTTGATCTCAGCACGGGTGAAATCGGCCACCAGCACCCAAAACGGCTCCTCGGACGAAGACGCGCTGCCTCCGCCTCGGTAGCCCATCGCAGCGAAGGCAGTGCAAATCTCTGCCACATCGGTGAGAGTGATGTCGGTGGTGTTGACGGAGAAGAACGATGGTGGTGATGGCAGTGAAGAATGCATTGCAAAGTTCGGAGCCACCTGTGAAGCAGGAGCAGGAGGCGACTCAACAGAGGAAGACGTCACAGCTGGCGGCGCCGTGCTCCCTGCCAGTGCTCCCTCGTCAGCACCTTCTGCGAGTTGCAGTTTCACTGCTGCTTTCCTTCGTGCCTCTTCCTGGATCGCCGCGATCGTTCGCCGTGGACGGGCCGGTGGCCGTTGCTTATCGTCTCTGTTCTTTGGTTTTTGTCCAGCCGTCGCCACCGCTGCCGTTGATGCTGCTGCATCAGCCTCGGTTGCCTGACGGGCCTTGCGCTCTTGCAGTGAGAGAAGACCCAACATTCCTTCCTCGATTTGCTCCTGCTTGGCCAAACGCACCGTCGACGCGTGCGTTCCGTTGCGGAAAGATGCTCGTGTGGCGCTTTCGTCCCAAGGAGAAGAACAAGAGGTCTCATGAAAGTCCTGGAGAAAGTTCATGGCGGCCGGGGCACGCAAGGCACGTTCGAGACGGTGCTGCGCTACATGCGCCAACACCGAGAGGTGCTGAAGTACTTCGGTAGGCCGCAGCATCGTATTAAGCCCTCCGCGGTACCGTGCTAGGTGGACCGCCTCGGCGTCCTCGATCACAGAAGCTCGCACGGTCGGCGTGGAGTCCAGCACACTTCTGCTACTGTTGTCCTCCCATTCAACAGGCCGGTAAAAGCTGAAAAGGTTGTCTTCTGGGGGCGTCGCATCTAAAGTGTCCGCACCTTCGCGCTGCACAACGCTCTTCTTGAGGGAGTCAATATCCAACGTGAGGGGAGGGAGTTGCTGACAAGTGATGTAGCTATCCAGGCACCGCGCCAGGCAGGTCGTCAGCGACACCAGCGCCAACGACGAGAGCTGCTCGCTCGCACCCAGCACACTCAGCAGAACCGCGTACAACTCCGCACGCACGCCGGACGCCTGCGCAGGCGGGTGGGCAGCTTCTAAAATCGTCCGTACCGCTTCGACAAGTACGACAACACGCAGGAGTTCCTCTGGGGGCAGCGGTGGTGCCTTGTGACGCAAGCGCTCGTCTTTCGAGCGGGAGAGACGACGTAGAGATGGCAGCGGAGACGGAAGAGGCTGCAACTGCGTGTGGTAATCAACTTGAACAGGCGGTGCATGTGACACCTTCTGATCAGCGTCAACAGTATTGCTCATTAGATGTGTCTGCTCAGTCGGCACGCTCTCCTGCGCACGTTCAGCCACATCGTGGGTCGCCGTGGCTTCATTCGCTACCTTCATCATTACGCACGGCGGTTCTCGTTGGAAGGAACTTGTTTTGCGAAACGCAGTTGGGATGAGAAATCGGAGTTGATGCCGACCGACGTACAACAACAACGCCTGCACTTCTGACCGCCATTCGAACAGTTCGACCACGCTGAGCGCTTCCGCGTCTGAGACGCAGAAAGGAGACGCTTCGAGGCGATCCGTCGCAATGCTTTGACGAATGCACGCGTTGAGCGTTGTCGTCAGCGTTCCGAGCGCCTGCACAAAGGCGGGCAGCTCCGCCGCTTCACCGGGAAAACGGTCGTCAGACGACCTCTCGACGGTACATGAAGGCGGGTGAGGTGACTGTGTGCCGCATTGACTCCTGTGCGGTGAAGGGTGTGGCGAGCTAGAAGGAAGGGTAGCACGTGTTCCTTGCTGAAAGACAGGGTGGTACGTCTCGATCCACAGACGACGTAACGGCGAAGCCCTGTGACACAAATCCGCATCGAACGCGTCTTCTGAAGCGTGTGTTGTGTCCGCAGAGGAAGCAGCAGCCATGTCACTGTCGGCCTCAATGCGGGAGTGCGAGTCATACGTGATAAGACGTACGAGACGCTGCCACGCTGGTGCTGCGGCAGCATCAGTTGCTGACCAACGGCAACTACAGAGATACGCAGAAGACCCTACCGAAGCGGAGGAACCACTCAATTGGCGAGTTGCCACGATGACTGTGCAGTCGACGGAGTTAACTGCACGACGCAGCAGCGACGCCGACTTTAATGGTGAACACCACTGACCAGAGAGGAGGGACAAGAGGCAGGCCGACTTAACGGCTACCACTCCACGCCGACACAGCCGTCTACACATCTGCTTTCGTATCATATAAAACCGTGAAGGTATAATGAAAAAAAAAAGAAACAAGTACGCTGTCGTTGCACTACATGACGGCACAGCAACAGAAAGAAAAAATGTGAGGAGAAGAGTGAAAGAGGTCACGATCGGTAAATCTCGATGACAGGCCACATACGGCATAAACACTCATTGCGTTCAAATGCGCAGTGCTGGGCCGAAGGAGCGACATTCCATTTACTCCAGTTTTACACTACGAGACAGCGCCCGTCGAGCTTTAATGTCGTACTCTCGGTGCTTTTCTCTATTAAATAGCCACTGCAGGTGCAACCGCTACCTTGTAAGATGGTATGTTGCATGCACGTACGCACAGCCACCTTAGGCATGAGGATGGACGCTATTTTCTGCACGCTTACGCCTACCCCACTCTCTCCTTCAGGAAAGCAAAGGGGCGGAAAACAACGCAAAACACCACACCCTATAGACCGAGCAACACGCTAGGAAAGCGCCACCGCGACGCTTCCTTTTCGCCCCTACGCCGCGAACAACCACACCGATATAACAGAGACAAGGAAAGAGGGTCCGGCAAATTGAACCAGTGAGGCGTGCGCACCGCCTTGGCGGCGCAGCTGGAGAATCCCGGATTGCAAGGAAAAAAAAAGAAAAGACCAACGCAGCACCATCCAGAGAACCGCACACACGCCCAGACCTCTGCTAAAAATGCGTACCTCTCCGCCTCGTAAAAAAAGAAAGCCAGCATTTTTGTTCAAATCGAAAAAAATTCCTGTTCGTCGCGTTTCGTTTCCTGAACAACGCCTTTTCCCCTTCCTCTCTTTCTCTTTATGAAACTCCACGCGGTCTTACAGGGACGCCTCATCAGGCAGAAGACCGTCCTTGAAGCACTCCTTCAACAGCGCCTGCAACTCAGGGCACAAATCGGAGCCGTAGTGCAGCAGCAACGCGTGTAGCTGTCGTCCTTGCTCCATCGTGATGGGCCGCACGTGCTTTCCGGTCGCTGGATCAATCAAGTCATCCTTCTGCTCCACCACGACCACCACCATTTGATGCGCTTGCAGGAAGAGGCTTTGCAGCGATTTCTTCGGCACGTAAATGCGTAGCGTCACGACGATGTCGAGAACATGCAGGATAACTGCCATGGCAGGGAATTTGGCCTCCTGTAGGCGACATCCGACTTGCTCGCCCATGGCACGCAGCTTCTGCCGCGTCGGCTCTGCGTGTAGCGCGTTGCGGCCGGCGTCGCTAACCTGGTTATAGCACGTGCGAATTGCCTGCAAGGCGGATTGCACCATGTGCTGATTGAGCTCGTCTGCAGTGCAAATGCGCTCGACCAGACGCTCGCAGACTTCTAGGCGCAGCAGGTGGAACTTGCGCAGGACGTGCGTCAGCGTCGCACACTCCTGTGGCGTGAACTCCCCTACGTGGTTCGTGGCGCGCACCGCCAGCCCCTGCAATGAATGCGGAGCCATGTCGTGCGTGGTGTAGCACTGCAGAATACCCAGCAGCGACGGGAGGTCAAAGTCGTTCGCCAGCGTCGAGACCCGTCGAACCATCGCACTGAGAATCTTGCGGCGCACGTCGAGGGTCTCGCGGGGGCAGCCACGGCGCGTTTTGAAGAGCTTCGTCGAGAGCGCCTTAATCATGGCCATATCGATCGTTTCATACTGGCGCCCCATCATCAGCGCCCGCTCCATCCGGTTCCACAAATGACGGTTGTAAAAGTTGGCGGCGATCATGTGGGTCGTGACGTACAGCACATCGTCCGGTGCCAGCACACCCTCGTTGTCGCGGCGCAGAAACTCCACCGTCAGCACCCGCATCAAGGCGGTATACTGCGCCTCCTCAATCCAGTCGCGCGATTTAAGCGAGGTGGCGTAGTACAAGGAGCGGCGCAGCTCATGCATGCCAGCTTGCTGCACTACCGCAGGGGAGCGCATCTGCCCCACCAAGACCTCCACCTCGCTCGACGTGATCTCCTTCAACTCGTCCACCATCTCGTCGATGCCCTCCGCGGTGAGGATGTCCGCTCCTGTCCCCAGGGCCTCCTGCGCCTTCTTCTGCTGGATTAGTTCATCTGCCTTCGACAGCGTCTCTGAGATGACGTCGCAGTGACCCGTAAGGACGGTGGTGGGGAGCGCTAGTCCGTCACCGGTGGCGCCCGAGCCGGGGCTGTAGGTGACGGCGATGCTGCCCTGCTGGACACCCGTTACCGCAACTTTTCCACAACTGTCTCCCTTGCTGCCGTTGAAACCAGCGGAAGGGGAGGCGGCGGGGGCGGCGGTTGGTGCTGCGCTATACGAAGATTGCCAGCGGCGTGATGTTCCATCGATGCACGGACCGCAACTCGAAAGTGTGGTCACGGATGACGACGATAAGTTGTTGCGGCTCAGCTGGATGCTGCATGAGAACGGTGTTGCTCCTGCTGCAGAGGGTGGACTGCGAAGAAGAGAACTGACGTTGCGAAAGGCCGTGGAACACGGAGTCAGCGACAGCGTCCCGCGCAGGCGCAGAGTCCGTCGTGGTGAAGTGCGCAGCATAGGTAAAGTTCGCGTGGTAGACGCCGTAGGGTGTATTGCGTGCTTTTCTTTCTTTCTGTTACAGAATTCCGCCGTCTCACACAGAGGAGAAATCAATTGCTATAAAACAGAGAAAGATCAACGCAAGAAAACACGGTGTTGATGAGAATGGTGAGCGAGGGGCAAACACACGCAGTGCGCAACGAACGGGCACACACAAGTGTGTGTGTGTGTGTGTGTGTGTGTGTCAGGAAGATGAGGAGTAACGATACGGAAACCAAGCGCGTGTACTCAACGGAGAAGCACAACATAATCAAGCCAGCCAACATAACGGCCTTTTTACTCTTCAAAGAAGAGAAAAGACACCTGATCTCTGAATTGTGCCCTCGCACACCTTGACAAAAGACAGAGGTGCACCTAACCGCAACCCTCGCAGAGGCGCGAGTCTTCGCTCGTCTCATTGGTGTAGGAGGGCTTTCCGATCATTTTCTTTTTTCCGCTTATATGTGCTCCTAAAAGAACAGGTACAAAGAAGATGTTTGCCTGTGTTTGTCTCGCTCTCACACGAAGGCAGAACACAGCAAACACCAACCGGAAAGGGTACAAGCGGCACACATCGGCGGCAGACACGGGATGGGGAAAAAAGGAAAAATAAAAACCCACAAGAGGAGGACTTCGCGAACTCAAATGGGGAATGGACACCCTTTCGTTCTTTCTCTGTTATGTACATCGGTTTGACATCAACAACAACAACAACAAGATGTGCTCATGCGTCTCCGCGAAAAAAAAAAAATCATAACAACAACACTTCCCATCAACTCCGGGTGAAGCAGGCCTATATAAATAGCAACATCTAATGCGCTTCAAACAAACCAGCCAACATAATAAAGCACACACAAAAGAACAAGAAGACGACTCTACAGCGCAGCAGCAATAACACCAGCAAGTAAAAACGCGTCGTTCTACAATAGTATATAAAGAAAACCCCACTTTTTGAGAACAAGTGCCACATCCACCGTTAGAAAGCGATGATCAAAAAAAAAAAACAGAAAAATGCTGGAGTGGATGAATCCTACTTCCGCGCCATCAATGCATTTTCTTCTAGAAAAACAAAAAGCGTAAACGAACAAATAGGTATAGTATTAGAAAAGAAAAAGCTCGGATGGAAGATAAAGAAGCAAGATGATACGTGCAAAAGCTACCGTCCACGCCGACCCCCGCACACACAACAGCGAGAACAGGAAACAAAAGACATACACACGACGATGGTGGGACACTGCTTTGAAAAGGCTTCGCACACATATCAGAAAACGGAAGAAAATACAACACACACGCAGAGAACAGCGACACAAGCAGTTCCGTGATGAAGTGGACGTGTCGATCAAACGAAACCGCCCAAATGCTACCAAGAAAGCTTTCCATACGTAGAACATGTAGAGCAACGGCAAATAGCTGAAGATACCTTTCCTTTTAGCTACCAGTAGGTCACTCACCTAGTATCTCGGTCACGCCCCTTAGAAACGGAGGAGAGCGAAACATCCAACGAAGCCGGCTGTGGTTCCTGCTGGACTCCGTCGGCGACGACAGCGGTCCCCGTTGCACGCCGAAACACTTTCCTGCCATCTGCAGGCGCACAAGAGCGACTGAGTTGGGGGCGATGCGGTGGTATCATGCGTCGGGCGACATCTGCAGCACTGTTCGCCGTTGCAGGACGCGTCGGTGGACGCACGTAAGGAACTCGTCGTAAATCAGACAAGACACCCGCTTCTGACGCGCCATCGCGCAGAAATGCGAGCGCGTTGCGGATGTCAGTGCTGCGTGGACGTTCACCGCTGCGCCACGACGTCCCCATGTCAATCGCATCGTCGGCATTCCGCAGCGACAGGTGAAGAGTCGTACTCTTTTCGCTGCCCAGGTCCTCCTCCTGACGCGGAAGACGCATCGGTAGAGCCTCACGTGGTGGAAGAGCGCTGGTCACAGGAAGGGCAACCCCTTTGGACTCGGAGAGGGTGTGGCGCACCGTCGGAGTAGTACTGGGTGCGCGAGGCGGCCGATGAGGGCGCAGACCAAGCGTGTTGGTAGCTGCCCCCTCTCTCCTCTGCAGATCCACGGCCGCAAATTGTTGCAATAAGGCAACGCGCGGATCCACAGTTGCTGTCGCACCTTCCACGCCGTGGTGAAGATTCCGTACGGCCGGACCGCACCACTTCAAACCGGTCGCTTCTTCCCTCGGCACCACTGTACGGTATGGATTAAAGTAGCGGCCCAGCTGGTACCCTTCGTCATCCAGCCAGCACTGAGCCACATCACCGCTGAAAAGAAAGCTAGGGGCCGTCTTCGCAAAACGCTCCTCCGCGCACACCTCGGTGGTGCCTTCAGACACCATAGTGCAATCGGCGGCCAGCGCAACAGCTTCGGGCTTGTGAGCCCGGGACTTCGGACGACGAAAAACTAGCAAGCGAGAACCACACATTCTTACTTCACCTGTCATCTCCAGAGAAGCACTAACCGGTTTGTGTGCACCGCGGGTGGGCTCGATGCGCTCGTCATCGCTCAGGTGCGCCTCCATCTCCGGCTGCGCGGGCGAGGTGGTGCGCCGGTCAGGCATGGCCACGGACTTGGCTGCACCGCGGGTGGGCTCGATGCGCTCGTCATCGCTCAGGTGCGCCTCCATCTCCGGCTGCGCGGGCGAGGTGGTGCGCCGGTCAGGCATGGCCACGGACTTGGCTGCACCGCGGGTGGGCTCGATGCGCTCGTCATCGCTCAGGTGCGCCTCCATCTCCGGCTGCGCGGGCGAGGTGGTGCGCCGGTCAGGCATGGCCACGGACTTGGCTGCACCGCGGGTGGGCTCGATGCGCTCGTCATCGCTCAGGTGCGCCTCCATCTCCGGCTGCGCGGGCGAGGTGGTGCGCCGGTCAGGCATGGCCACGGACTTGGCTGCACCGCGGGTGGGCTCGATGCGCTCGTCATCGCTCAGGTGCGCCTCCATCTCCGGCTGCGCGGGCGAGGTGGTGCGCCGGTCAGGCATGGCCACGGACTTGGCTGCACCGCGGGTGGGCTCGATGCGCTCGTCATCGCTCAGGTGCGCCTCCATCTCCGGCTGCGCGGGCGAGGTGGTGCGCCGGTCAGGCATGGCCACGGACTTGGCTGCACCGCGGGTGGGCTCGATGCGCTCGTCATCGCTCAGGTGCGCCTCCATCTCCGGCTGCGCGGGCGAGGTGGTGCGCCGGTCAGGCATGGCCACGGACTTGGCTGCACCGCGGGTGGGCTCGATGCGCTCGTCATCGCTCAGGTGCGCCTCCATCTCCGGCTGCGCGGGCGAGGTGGTGCGCCGGTCAGGCATGGCCACGGACTTGGCTGCACCGCGGGTGGGCTCGATGCGCTCGTCATCGCTCAGGTGCGCC